CCCGCCTCCCTTGAGGACCTCGCCCCGCTCTTCCCCTCCGTCCTCCCCTCCCCAGATTTCTGGGGATGTCTCGCAAAATTCGCGACCGGGATTAATTCATCTCGGTCATAAATCGCTCGGGACTTTCGCACGCCCCCAAGGGGGCCCCGAGGGTGCCCAAGACGAGGGGAAGCGAGGACAGGCGCGAATATGATGGGTTTCACTTGGTCAAGACTTGTGCCAATAAGGGAATCGAAAAGCCATTTCGGAGGGGTCTATCATGGACGAAAATTGCACCGTGGCCATGGCGGGAGGCATAGTTGGACCACGTTCTAAGAGCGCCCCACGACGGCCCAAGGGGCCCGCAAGAGGCACCCAAGACGGCCCACGAGGGCCCCACGACCGCCCAAGAGGCCCCCCCCAAGACGGCCCATGAGGGCCCCAAGACGGACCCAAGGCAGGCTCAATAGGGGGACCAAGGGCCTCAACGGGCCAACGCGCGTTCGCATTCGTTCGCGTTGGAGCCGTAGCAATTTTGGCGCCCGCCCCCTAAGAGAGCACGACATTACGACAGATTGGGTTCGATGGTTGCGCATTCTCTTCGAGTCGCCACAGGCGGGCGCATTCAGAGGCTCCGTTACCATGCAACGCTGGACGGACAAGCACGATGTTCTGATCGCACATCTGAGTTTTTGTTTGATTCACAATCTGCACATTACCCCGTGGAACAGTGGTCGTTAGGCTTGCTTTCAGCCAGGAAAATACAAGTAATTGCGAACCACCAGAGGAAAGACATGGAAGCCGTGTTGACGAATATCGGTGCGCCTTTAACGCACGTGCCAGAATCTTTGGTTGCTTTGTCTGAGCTTGGATCTCGCGGGCTGCGCGGCAACGCTAACCGTGACCTTCTGAGGTGCTTGGGTGCTCCAGACACACCCCCTGCCGGGCTTCTCCCTATCCAGACCTAGGTGATAAAACCGCGAGAAACTGAAGGGGAAGTTGACGTGACGCGCCAGCCGTTTATGTTTCCACACATTCAGTTTTCACATCTTCACACATACAAGCCACATGTTTTTCGGCGGAGGTTTCTTGGGCCCGATGGGTCGCCCGACAAGCTGGAAGATTTCTGGACAAACGTCGAGATGGTGAATGATCCCCGTTTGCATGGGCACCCAATGACAAAACGGCCAAAGTGGAAACGCAATGCAATACCAATTCTCATACACGGAGACAAAGTGCCAGTTGTAGCAGTTGGTAAGTCCAACACCGTCGGGCTTGAGTGTCTGAGTTTCCAGTCGCTGTTTGCGACGGGCACCGCGCTCGCTGTCAAGATGTTGGCGTTCGTGTGTTTCTCGAGTTGCATGGCAGAGTCCACCATGGATGAAGCGTGGGCAATACTTTCTTGGTCACCTGTTGCGTGCTTCCTGGGTCAACACCCACAAGTTTACTCTGATGGACACGCGTGGCCCCCGAGTTCGTCGGAAGCTGTGCTCGCCAACTCGCGCGCGCCTTTAGCTGGCGGTTATTTCTTGGTTCTCCGGGGGATCAAAGGACGCGGGGTGCACAACACCTCGGCGCGCCTAAGTTCCAGGCGGGGGGTGGGGAGGGGGGAAAGGAGGATCGAGGAGGAAGGGCATTGGGGGGGGGGATGAGGAGGAGGAGGAGGATGGGGAGGAGGAGCTCTGTTCATGCCAACTCCCAGGAGATCTGGGGCGGTTCGCTCTCGGCCTCAAGATGCGACACTTTGGCGCCCACAAGCCAATTGACCTATGCGAAGCTGATGGTAGTGATCCAGACCCGTTGATGTGGCCGACGTGCTTCGAACGCCATGCAAAATGGAAAACAACCCTCGCCACGCGGGCGTCGTGGCGGGCACGGAACCCAGACATGCACATTTTGTTTAGAACATTTAGTTTCTTGTCTGCATTAAATATCGAGCCAGATGAACTACAGATCTTGCACATTGGTACGAGCATGTACTTATGTGGATCCGTATTGAAATTGCCAGTATACGAAATAATGCCAGGCACCCCTGAGGTGAATTCCCGATCTGTGTGGCGCGAAATTTTGATGTATTACAGGCGGGAGAAGCCCGTGGTGCAATATTCAGTTCTCAAGTTGTCGTCTTTCATAGACGCTGAGAAGTGGAAAGAGAAGTACCCGAGACTCAAAGGGAGAGGCGCCGAGATAAAAGTTTTCGTGTACGCGCTAGTAGCAATATGGCCTCAATTTAAAAGGACATGCGCAGCCCACAGGAGGCGCGATGATCTCATCACGCGCACTCTTGGTTGCCAAGTGCGAATTCAAGAGCACCTGGGCGAATATAGTAAGGATTTGTTTATGACTGCTGCTGCCAGTGCTGCACTCCGTAAGGACATTGATCAGTTTCTTGACTTGTGGACCACCATCGGGTTGTTGGCTGATGCTCGAAAGCAATGTCTCATGTCCGCAGTGCCGAAACTTATATGGTTATGGTTCTTGGGACAACGGTCCGAGTTTCGTTCGCCAAGGAGGGGGTCTTGTTTCATCGACGAGGATCTCGTGAAGGCCATGAAATTCATAGCAGCGCGTTCTCTCAATGGACAGAAGCAGCACATCGCTCCTCGACTCATCTTTTCAAAGTTCAGGTGGGTTCAGAGATTCCAGTCTTTGCCGTATTCGTTTTTGCGTCATTGATTTAAGTTAGAGTGAGTTTCACTTTGCTGCAGCCGCTGTGGATGCGCACTGAGAGCGTGAACAGAAGAAGCACGGGGGGGGGGGGCTCGGTGACGGGGTCTCCCTGCGTTTTCCTTGAAGAACGCTACTGCGCAATCCCGCCAGACCCTAAACGTTCTTGTTGACCCCGAGGCTTTGCCGCGTGACGAGTACAGTGGGGCTGCCTGTAGGCGCTGCCACGTGGTGCGTGATATTATGTAGTCGCTGTTACCGTTTCAACAAAGCCTGCCGCGCGACGATTAGAGTGGAAGGTTGTTTGGTCCGATGCATCGCCCCCGTTCCCTTCTTCCCCATGCCACTACCGCTACAGCCCACAGGCACACGCTATGAGCTACAATGCAACGCAGGCGCCGTAGATCAATTGAACACTTACCGAACATGTACCATCAATACATTGCACATTAACCATATATGTACGATACATCCACCATAAATTTACCATAAATTTACCATACATTTACCATACAACTACCATACATTTACCATACATGCACCATAAATTTACCATACATTTACCATCGATTTACCATACATCTACCATACACAAACCATGCGTTCAGCACGTCACGTGCCCAAGATTTTTGGGAACCGTGCACGAAGTTTTTGGGTTTCGTGCTCGATCTTTCTTGCTCTAAATCAAAATTTAGGGCATGTGCCCGAGAATCTTGGGTTTTCCCCGAGGACTTGTTTCTTGGGCACCCGGATGCATAGGGTAATAGCCTTATACCCCTATAACCCCATAGACCATATAGCTCTATAGCCCCATAGCCCTATAGCCCTATGGCCCTATAGGTCACAGTCCTATAGCCCGATAGCCGTATAGCCCTATAGCCCAATAGCCCTATAGCCCTATAGCCCTATAGCCCTAACAAAAATCTGATTGGGGTTTTTTTCCGGTATCATTCCAAGCTGATTGTTATGTTTCGTCCAAAATCGGCCTGTAGGAGGACATGCCCGACTTATTTTCAGAATGCACAATCCTGTGACTACAGAGCTGCAAGAGGCTTGAGGCAATCCACTACGTGCTGAACGCACGGTGGCGGATATGTCGGTCGGTCTCTCTCTTCCTCGCTCTCCCTCTCAATCTCGATCTCTCTATCTCTCTGTCCCTCTCGCTGTCTCTTTGTTTTGTTCTCTTTCTCTCTCTCTAGATATGTACCTCTGTGTGTATGTTAGCGTTTGCCCCAAACTGTAGTCTCTTTCAATATATGTTGTCAAAGCTAGGTGGTGCAACCAATGTGGCCCAATCTACGTGGAGCAACACAAGTGGCACAGTTCATGTTGCGCAGCGAAATCCAATGCAGAGCAACGCAAGACAATACAGAGAGAAATGCAAAACAGAGCCAAAAGCAAAGCGAAGCAGTGCCGAGCAATGCAAAAGAATGCACAGCAATGCACAGCAGCGGAAAGCAACGCAAAGCAATGGCAATGGCATGCGGACCAAGGCAAAGCAATACAGTGGAGGCGCATGCCAAGAAACACTCTGCTTGCCTCCAGTGTGCCCTGGGTCTCTTGGGTGTCGATGGTTTTGCTGTGGAAGGCATAACGTTACCACACCAGAAATCCATTGACGCGCTGGGGTCTCAGGGTTGGGTTTCTTGTGGCAGGTCTCTTGTGGGCGGGCCCCCACTGCACAACGCAATGCGATTGCAATGCGAACGCAATGCGATTGCAATGCAAAGCAGTCCGGCGGCGACGGGCGGCGACGAGACAGCCAGACCGCCACTGGGGCTCAGTTTTGCCGGGGGCGGCGGCGGCGGCGACGGGCGGCGGCCTTTGACCGCCACCTGGAGCTCAGCTGCCTTAGAAGACAAGCAAAGAAGCAAGGTCAATCATATGTTGTGATACATGTATATGTGACCCCATATATAGTAACAACACAAACATATTTATATAACATGTGTATACATATTGTTCTCTGCATAATTCGATACATACATACATATAAACATATGCGCATCTATATATATATGTCCCTGCACATACTGATACACGTATATGTGTGATCCTTCTCTATCTCTCCATTTTTCTCTTTTTCTGTATAGTTGTATCCCTACCTCTCCCTCTCCGTCTCTCTCCATATATACATGTAGATATTATATGTACGCACATGTCGTGTATACATATCTATATATATATATAGATACACACACGCGTACGTAAGTGTGCATATATATATATGTCATAATATGTATATATATATATACACGTGATCCGTGGTGCCTGTTTTGGTGGAGACACCTTGCACCTGAGTTCGGAAGGAGGGTGCCTTTGTCCTTTGTCCTTTCTTTTTGCGCAGCCCTCAGGCCACGTTCCAGTCATCCACCGTCGACACCAGCTACTGTCCGATGAGCGGAAGCAACTGCACCGCCACGAGATGCTGCGCCGAGATCGGTCTCCAATGCTATCCAGCACGCTGCCGCGACCCTCCCCGACCTATGCGAGTCCGAGCTCGTGACTGCCCGCTCCGATTCCACAGGAGTAGATAGGCTTTGTTTGGGGTGCCTTTGGCCAGCGTGGGCCCCGCTCGTGTGCATCGGGAGGAAACATTTGCAAACACACGAACTGTCAGAGATCCGCGCGGATTTCGTGGACCGGCGCCTGGGCTCCCCTCGCGGCGCCTCCGGCCATGCCCCTGGCGCGCTCCGCGCGCCAGGGGGGTGGGGTCCAGCGCCGATCAAAGAATTCTGCGCTGACCTCTGAAAGTTTCATGTGTTTGCCGACTGTTGATCCTCTACAGTCGTCCGCGACAGCCTGATGGAGCTGCGCGCAGTTGGCCACGCTGGCGTGCAGGCGTCTTGCAGCCCACCGTTGGAGCCAGGCGTGATGGACGCCCGCGCGATTCCCGCCTTCTCGGGCGTCCCTGCGTAGCTGATGTTGCGTATCCCATGGGCTGGCAATTGTCTGTATTATTGTCCTTGTTGCCGCAGCCCTGAACGAGGCGGAACTTAATACGCTCAACCCCCGAAAGGTGAGCACGCGGACTTGTTGCGAGACCTGTGCCTCAGTTTTGAATGTCCCCCTCGGCGCAACAAGGATCCGATTGGCTGTGCGCGGTCACTGCCGCACGCACCGTAGGCATCAAGTATTCCCAAGTTTGTTCCTGCATACCTTGGCAATTAGGTACACAGTATGTTAGCCAGCGTGGACCCCAGATAGTGTTTTCTAGCATGCAATACGCGGTGCAATATATGTGGTGCAACCGATGGGGTGCACTTCACTTGTGGATCTCGCAGTTGTCAACTCCATTGCTTGCGCAATCATCCCACCCACCCGCCCGCAACTTGTTTTGCAAAACGCATGCGGTGGCGATTGCGATGAGTTCTTGGCGTTGGCTGGTGCGTTTCTGCGGCCGCGCTAGCCCGCGCATGCTCACGCGCGCAGCGGCCAGTTAGTTGGGCGCGACCGACGCGGCCGTGGTGGTGCTGACCGCTGGGCGCTTCCCTGCGGGCACTGCAGCAAGAGTCGGCCACTTGGACGGGCGTGGTATCATGGCAACGTCGACAACGGTAGACACGATGATGATAGTAGCGACGCGAGTGGCGATGATGACAACGGCGACGGCACGGCCAGCGACGGTTCCGTTGCTGATCACGCTGGCGACGATGACGGCGCCCTCGCGTCGGTGATGAAGATTCTGGAAGGAGTTCGACATGCGCGCGCGGCCGACGCGCGAGAGTGGCCCGCATGGCATTATTTGAGACGGATCGTGCCCCCCAGCACGCGCGCAAAGGGCGTCCGAATGATGTCGACATGCGGCGCGAAAAGGCCCGTTGGGCCGAATTGAATGGCAATTGTGAAAACAATGGTTTTCTCTCGAATTCGCAAAAGCGCGAGCGTAGACTTTTGAAAACTGAGGTTGCACAACCTGATACTTTTAATTTTGTCGTCGGGGCAATCGTTTTTGAAATCCGTACGAAATCGATCAACGATTACGGCATGCGCGCTCGACGAAGCGCGCGTGCGCATGTTGTCCCATTTGTTGCCAGGAGCTTTTAGAAACTTATTGGGATGGTACGAGTACTTATTTACGACGTAAATTGCACAACCCCAGGGAGTACCGACAAATCCGGCCTCGAGACGGCGGGGGGTCCCAATTCTTTTCAAAAAGAGAACATACTAGGTGCAGCTCACTTTGCAGAATTTGAAGTTGTCAACCCCATCGCTCGTGCAATCATCCCACCCATCCAGCCGCAGCATGGTTAGCCGATTTTCCGATCTCCACGAATGTGGGGGTTCAGCGACTTCCTGGAATTCAGGAGTTGCACGAATCCCGGAGTCCCGAATTCCCGAATTCCAAGAGATTCCCAATGGCGACGTTCGCATGAGCCCCCCCCTTCCGCACAGCACAGCGCTTCGCGGGCCCATGAGAAGCTCCACCGACGGCTCTTGCGGCAAAGTTCGCACGCGCCCCCCCCCCCTGCCCAGCACAAGCTTTCGCGGCCCTACAAGGAACCCCGCCGGAGGCCGCACGCGCCCCCCCCCCTCCCAGCACAGCGCTGCGTTGCCCCACTGGGAACTCCACAGAAGGCCTCAGCGGCAAGGTTCGCGCGCGCCCCCACCCCGCCCCCGCCCCGCACGCCCCGCCCCGCGCCGAAAACAGCGTTTCGTGGCCCTGCGGGGAGCGCCACCGAAGGCCCCACTGGCAAAGTTCGCGCGCGCCGCCCCCCCCCCCCACCCACCCACTAAGCGCAGCGCTTCGTGAGTGGCGAGCCCCCCGGGGAGCTCCACCAAAGGCCCGAGTAGCCGCGGTTGCGTGCGCGCCCCCCGCCCAGCGCGGCGTCTCGTTGCTCCATAGTGAGCTTCACCAACAGGCTCCAATGGCAAAATTTGCATGTGTCCCCCCCGCCCATTGCGGGACACCCCTCGCGCGCGTCGTAGCCCCACGAGGAGCTCTTCCGAAAGTGGCACCCACAGCGCGGCGCACCCAACTGCCCGTGGGTGGGTGCCTCGCCAGGGAAAACTTGTAGAAAAAAGAACGCGCCGGCTGGGGCATCGCTGCGGCCGCGCTATCACGCGTCGGCTTGCGCTTAGAGCGGGCAGTTAGTCCGGCGCGGCCGCCGCGGCGCCGACCGCTGGGGACTTACCAGCGCGTCTGGCAGGCCGCGCTGACGCGCCGGCACTCCAGCGCGGGTCGGCGACTTCGGGCGCGCGCGGTATCATGGCGACGTCGACAATTGCAAGCACGATGGCGACAGAAGCGGCGTTTGTGACTACGATGACAATGGCGACGGCAAGGCCACTGACGGCGCTGATGCTCGGCACGCCGATGACGATGACTGCGCCCACGTGATGAATCCCCTGGAAGACGTTCGACGCGCGCGCGGCCGACGGGCGCGAGTGGTCCGCATTGTGTTATTCGACACGGATCGCGCACACCCGCTGCCCCAGCGCGCGCGCGAGGACTTTCAAATGATTTCGGCACGCGCGCGCGAGAGGCCAGCTGGGTCGGATTTGATGAAAATTTGAAGAATTCATGGTTTTGAGAAGAATTCGCCAGAGCGCGCGCAGATTCTTCGAGTCGTCGCGTTACAATAACACGTTTGCATGTGTTCCAGAAGACCGATTTTGAAATCCATACGGAGCCCAAGGCGTTGGCATTTGTGCGGCGCGCGCACGCGACGACGCGCGCGGGTGGACTGAGTCATACATGTTGTTGTTGCTGCAAAGGGTTTTTGGAAACAGTGATTGTAACTAAACGAGCGCACGCGTTGTTTTGTTTGGCGAGGGCGCGGATGGCGGGGCCGGCGGCAAAGGGCATGGCTGGGATGATTCGAGTTTACACTTAGATTGAGCGATAGGCCAGAGTCACAAGTAAACTGCACCATCCCAGGGGGGCGCGAAACCCCGGGGGGGGACTCGATTTTTTTTTCAGAAACGCGAATGTAATGTTCGTCGCAATGCGTTGTCCACTTCAACGCTAGCGCAATCTCCCCAAGCGCCCACCCGCAACCTGATTTTCAAAGCCGATGCGGTGACCATTGCGATGACTGCTTGGCGCCGTGTTGGTGGCGGTGCTGGCAACGACGACGGCAAAGCCAATGACGGCGCCGATGCCAGCGACGCCGCAAACAATGATACTGTCCACGCGTCGGTCATTAAGGTTTTGGAAAGATTTTGCCATGCGCGCGCGGCCGCCAGCGGGACCGAGTGGCCCGCTTTGTATTTGTTGAAGGGGATCGCCCCCCCCCCCCCGCCCACCCCCCCAGCAAGCGCGCAAGGGCGTTTGAAGAATCCCGACACGCTTTCGTGAATAAGCAGATTGCGAAACCATTTTTTTTTCAAATATGATCGGGGGCCTCGATGTTCAAACCCCTACGGAACCGACTGTTGTATAATGATGCGTGAAAACATGTCGGTGTGCGCGTGCGACGACGTGCGCATGTGGATTGTGTGTGTGTGTGTGTTTGTGTTGGTGTTGGTGTTGGTGTTAATGTTTGTGTTTGTGTTTGAATGTGGTTTGCGATGGGTTGCTGGAAACGGCTGCGTTATGATAACTGAATGCGCGCGTATAGTATTTTGGGACAGGGATGAGGGAACGCTGGGGGGTCGATAAGCGCACGCCCTGGTATGGCACGAACTCGTGTGTAATTCGTATTGCCCCTGGCAGGGCAAAAAAAACCCAGGAGCGGGGGGGGGGGATCCGAACAGCAGTTTTTGTTTTTGTTAAAAGAAAATGGAGAATCGATGTGGTGCAATCCGTGTGGTGTGAGCTACGTCGTGCAATCGCGAAGTGCAAACATTGTTTGGGAAATTGGGGAGGGCATTGGGATAGCACGACCACTGCCGAACCACTGGCGGCCGGCAGGCCAGGGCGCTCAATCGAAAACAGCAATGCATCACGCCTGGCCTGACCAGCGATGAGGGTCCCCATGGCAGTAGTGCGCAGGAGTGCAGCGAGCTCCCGAGAGTTCACTTATGGCGAGACGACCCCATGCAATATGTGCATCCTTTCACAAGTTTAATCGTTACCATGGCCACCCCAGGAGAGAATGCAACACTTCACGCATATGCTCTGTTCAGCATGCTTTATGTGTAGCAAGATCCTGTTCCGCATGAGATCCCCCGTGAGCCTAAAATTCGACGACATGTCTATAATTGGGAGGGCCCAGAAAGGTGGGGTCTAGATAGGCATGCGTGTAGTGGACACCCTGCGAGACTTCCCGTAGATTTACAACAGATCGACACTTGTCATAATCCAATCAAAGTGTACGCAGAAGAGAGAAGAGAGAAGGAGGGGGGGTGCAGGGACGACAGAGGAGGAAATGAGGAGGTAGAAGAAATCAAGGAGGAGGTTCACGAGAAGCGGGGGAGGGGTACTGGAGGAGGGAGGGGGCGGGGGACTATGATGTAAATATAAATATCTGAATGTTGACGCCTCGCCTATCCCCACCAGCTCATCCAGAAACGATCGCCAGGCAAGTTTCCTTGGACAGGGAAACGTAGGAGCATGCAGTGGGGGCACCCGGTGAACCGAAGCTCGGGGATCAGCCTGAACAGACCCTTGAGTCAACCATGAAAGCCGTCGCGGATGAGCCGTGGGGCCTCAAGCAGGTTCAGTATTGAGATTCCTGTGGGCTGTCTCTGATTCGCGCCCAGACCGTGTCAGGGTACTTTGAGGTTGTCGCCGTGCCACGGGCGCGGAACTGCTTTCCCGAGCAGCTGCGCGGCTGCAAGCACTCAGAGTCAACGGGGCGCGCGCGGTGGAGCAGGCGGCCGTGCAACCCAGGGAGCTGGCTCCAAGACGTGCGATGTCGTGTTTCCCACGGCGCGGGCCCCCGGAGGTCTCGACCCATTTCCGGGGACGGGGCTTTCGTCCCGTGCTCTTTTGTTGACGGGCCCGAGGCCCGGCAAGGGCGCCCAGAGATGCTGCAGAACGGCCAAAGCCCCTCCGTCGTGATCTGCTGCTTCGACGCGAGCATGTCTGGGTTTGGCGATCTCATTGGGCGTCCTTTCCCCCGCAGCCGCTCCCAGAACCCCAAGAAGGAGGTCACGATCCGACCACGCCGGCACGCCTGTCCAGCTCCCCAGCGGGTGGAGGCCGGCGGACAAGAAGAACTCGGCGTGGGCGAGCTGCCGGAAGAATTGCACCAAGAACGAGTCGATGCCCAACGACACGAACAAGGAGGGTCATCGGAGGAGGCGCAGGTACGGACACCGCGGCTCGTCGTGGCAAGCCTTGGTCGCCACGGCGGAATTCTCCCCGAAATCCGGGTCAGGATGCACCCCAGACGAGGTCCAGGGCGCAGCGGTATCGGCTTTTTGTGTTGTCACCCCAGGTGAAGTTTCGGGTTGCGCACAGAGCCCCCCACCAGGTAGCCCCATCTGGTTTCACAACAGGCCCAGGAGCATGGCGGTCTCAACACCCTGGTGCCGCCTCCAGCGGCGCCCCTGCACTGCCCAGGAGGCCTGTTGAGGCAAGCTGGGGCTACCTGGGAGGCTGTCTTTGCGCAGCCCGGACCCCACCAGAGAAGGACCCCTGGGACTGTGAGGAGTTCGGCCCCCGCACGGAGGGGACGGTCGTCGAGGACTGGAGCACGGGCGGCCTGCGCGGCCACGACTGCCGGTCCAAGAAGTTCTGCGCGGGCGCGGACGACCACTGCTACCTAAAGAACAAGGCTCGTAGGGCGACGGAAGCTATACATGTCCACTGCCAGTGACCAAGCCCATCCTGGGTCCAGGAACGGTGTATACGCAACTTGGCCAAATATACATCTATATATAGATGCATGTGTGTGGATGTATGTAGGTGTATGTATGTATGTGTGTATGTGTGCATGCATGTATGTGTATGTATGTGAATGTGTGTATGTATGTGTATGTATGTGTATGTATGTGTATGTATGTGTATGTGTGTATGTATGTATGCATGCATACATGCATGCCTGTGTATGTGTATGTGTGTATATGTGTGTTCGTGTGTATGTATATGTGTATGTAAATGTGTGCATATACGTACATGTATACTAACATGTGCATTCGTACGTGTGTCTATAGATACGTATGTGTCTTTGCATATACATATGTCTATGCATATCCATATGCCTGCGTATATGTATATGTATGTGTATGTGTATGTGTGGTTGTGGCTGTATGTGCATTTGTAGTTGCAGGTGCATTTGTATATGTACATGTGTATCTATGTGTATATGTATATATACACCGCTCCTGCAGCCAGGATGGGCCTGACCAGCGGTAGTGTGTATGTATGTACAGATCCCGCCGCCCCAGAGATCGGGATAAAAAAACGGCACCAGCGTGAAGTGTCGCAGCTCCGCGCGGATCTCGTGCATCGGCGCTGGGGGCCCCCCAGTGGCGGCACTTGCGGCGCTGCCCCATGGCGCGCTCCGCGCGCCGGCGCCGCTTCACAAGTCCGCGCAGACCTCAGCAGATGCATGGGTGTCGGGGGCCCCCAAACGGGGTGGTGACCACACCGTGTGATGAGTCGGTAGGGATTCGGGGTCACCGCACGGTTTTGGGACTCGGACTCGGGTCGTTCTCCGGGGCATCCGAGGTCCCAAAACCGTGCGTTGACGGACCGTGCGGTGAGGTCTTGGGTGATTTCGAGGTCACCGCACGGTCTGTCACCGCACCGTTTCGGGACTCCAAAATGGTGGCTGAATTCGCCGGACGTGCCCCGTTTTGCTCCACTCGCCAGCGCAGTCCCTCGGCCTGGCCGCCGACGCAAAAAAGATGTGTGCGTGTGTCCTGCTCCTCCCACAGGAGTGGGGCAGCTGCATGACGGAGTGCGACCCTGCGGCGGCGGGCACCAAGGGCTGGAGCTGCGAGAAGCTCTACTGAAAGCGCGTTCCCTTCGCGGTTTTCGGCGATCGGAGACCCCCGTCGCCGACGCACCTCTTGGGCAGGTGCGGCCCAGCTACCCTTAAGTCGGGCGTGTCCCTCTACAGGAGGAGTAGTCAAAAACAGTCCAAAAATAGTCTGGGGACGATTTTTGGACGATTGCGAAGGCCTTACAGCCAGTGCCGCCGACCCTGAAGACGACGAAGATGAAAACGAGCGGGGGGGGGGAAGAGGCGGAGGAGGAGGAGGAGTGAGGTGGGAGAGGTGAAGGGTGGAGGAGGCGGATGAGGGAAGAGGAGGGGGGGGAAGGATGAGGAGGAGTAGGAGGAGCAGGAGGAGGAGGAGGAGGAGGAGGAGGCAGAGGAGGACCAGGAGGAGGGGGAGCAGGGGGGGGACAAAACCTTTCCGAAAATCAATGAATACGGCCACTCCAGGCCTTCTTGAGAGTCCTTTTGTGGCTCTTTTGACCCGTTTGGGGGCCCCCTTTGGCCGTCCTTAGGCGTGCTTGGGCTGTCTTGTGGGACGATGTTTGGACTATTTTGGACTATGCTTGCGCAGTGTTTGACTCTTTTTCATTTTTCCTGCAGGGACACGCCCGACCTAAAGTTGCCCCCGTGTGCACGGGTGCCTTCGGAGCGAGCGCTGGTCATGGTTTGGTCATTGCGACGCGGAATGACCAGCGCGGCTTTGCCAACGAGCAGAGTCGGTTCCGCTTCATTCGCAGCGTGGTTTGCGTCACCAGTGATGTTGCAGGAGAACCTTGCACATTGGCGCCCCGTAGGTGCACACGTTCCGCTTTAAATTGGTGCGCGGAATTGCCCTGCACTGTCTCTGTTCGCCTCGTCCGCCCTCCCGCCCTCTCCTCCGATCCATGCACGCTCCCGATGCTCGCCGGCCGCCCGAAGCTGCGGCCACGGACGTCGCCCGAGACAACCGACGCCGCACGGTAGCGCCAATGGATTCGGTGTTTCCGCGCTGGCGCTACTTGGGGGATGAAAAAGCCGCCTCGAGGGAGTGACGGCCTGAGCTCTCTCGTTTCAGTGGTTGCCGACGGAAGGTCTACGAAGGTTGGCCAAGGTCGCGAGAAGCAGTTCCCCCAGCGAGGTCGACGAAAGCGGCGGAAGTTGGCAGAGGTAAGAGCACGCAGCCCGTACCACGACGAAGGTGCCAAGACGAAGGAATTACCCCCGTATAAGTTTCTCGCCTTGTGGATCCAGTCTGTTGTGACAGACCCACACCCCACGTTTGCCAAAGACCGAACCATGAATGCCCAGATGTGGCTTGTAGTTTCTTCCGGAGGTGGCAGGAATGTGGTGGACCTGGCATGGACTTCCTCTTCAACGCTTCGGCACGGTCCGATGCAGCGTCGAGCATGGGTATTGCAGGCAGTGATGGGAAATCTTTGGGTCGGGGCTGATCCCCGGCTCCTCGATCTCTCATCACTGTACAACATGGTGCCCCTGATCCTCTCCCCGACAACTGCCAAACACATGATACCCTTGACCCTCGATCATCGAGGATCAAGGGTGCACGTGTCTGGCAGTTGTTGGCTCATGAGGGGCAGGTGCCTCTGGAGGCCTCCAGTGGCCTGGGCCCTGCAGGGGCCGAGCCACGGCTCCCGAGCGCGGGGAGG